CTGCAGTTTTTGTTAGCTACCATATGGGTGCTGACCTCTGAACCTGGGTCTTCTGGGAGAGCAATTAGTGCTCTTAACCACTGAGCCATTTCTCCAGCCCTGTAAATATTTTATGTATCTAAAAGATAAAGATTCTTGAAGCTGGCATGGATGTCCATGTTGGTAATCTGACCACTCCAGAGACTGAGGCAGGAAGATTGCAAGTTCAAGGACAGCCTGGGCCACACAGCAAATCCCTGTCTCAATACTCCTCTCCCCAAATACAAAAGATTAATTTTTGTTGTTATTGTTGTTTTTAGAGACAGGATCTCACCATGTAGCCCCAGCTGGCCTGGAATTCACTATGTAGACCATCTCGGGTGAACTCGATCTCACAGCCATCCTCCTGCCTCTGCCTCCCAAGTACTGGGATTAAAGGTATGCACTAACAAGCTCAACATGAAATTAATTTTTTTAAACTTAAAAAAAATTTATTTCACTTGGGAGGCAGAGGCAGGTGGATCTCTGTGAGTTCAAGGCCAGCCTGGTCTACATAGTGAGTTCCAGGACAGCTGGGGCTACAGGGAGACCCTGTCTCAAAAAGACAAAAAATTATTTTTATTTTATGTGTATGACTGTATGGCTGCTTGTAGGTAGGTACACCTGTGTTGTACAATGCCCGCAGAAGCAAGAAGAGGGTGTGGGATCCCCTGGAACTGGAGTTATGGATGGTTGTTAGCAGCCATGTGGGTGCTGGGAATTGAACGTGGGTCCTCTGTAAGAGCAGCCAGTGCTCTTAACTACTGAGCCATCTCTCCAGCCCCATGAAATTAATTTTTAACATAATGATGAAACCATTAAAATATCTAATAATTAGCATTAGTCCCTGATTGTAATTGGAAACCCAATATATATTTGATTCCAATTATTTAATAAAATTTCTTTTTTGTGTATGTGTGGTTCTAGGAACCCAGGGCCCTGTGCATGCTGGGCAAGTGTTCACTGAGCTACACCCTGGCCCACGTTCCTTTTTCGCGTTTTCCTTTTTTTGGTCAGGATTTTTTTTTTTTTTTCTTTTGAGACGGGGTCTCACTATGCAGTCCAGCTGGACTGGAACTCACAGAGATCCACCTGCTTCTGCCTCCTGAGTGCTGGATTAAAGGTGCGCGCCACCGGCTAGGTGCTGACTGTCTCAATTCTTATTCGTGGTTTGTTTTTTCATCTTTCTTCCTCTTAAAATTACTTGTGGGAGAAACCAAATTGTTTGTCTGGTTTCACGCCCCGGCCCCTTCCCTGGGTTTTGTCTGACCTGCCCCGGCCCCTTCCCTGGGTTTTGTCTGACCTGCCCCGGCCCCTTCCCTGGGACTACAGGTGTGCACCACCACGCCCGACTCATTTATCATTATTTTGTGTGTATGACTTTATTCCCTGCATATGTGTAAGTGCACCTGTGTCATACAATGCCCAAGGACATCAGAAGAAGGCATTGGATCCCCTGAAACTGGAGTTACAGATGGTTGTTAGCCACCATCTGGGTGCTGGGACTTGAACCTAGGTCCTCTGAAAGAGCAGCCAGTGCTCTTAACCACTGAGCCATCTCTGCAGCCCCACCCCCAGATTGGTTCTTGACAGGATGTTCTAAAGACTCTAGCTAATGGAGGCTGGGTGAGTCCCTGAGATCCTTTCCAGGCTCCATGTCCCTCCTAGAAGGTGGTGGCCAGAGAAGGTCACTTAGGAGGTAAAATCATTTTGGGGAGGAAAATGTGGGTTAAGCCACAGAACTGTGGCCTGGCCTTCCTGGGAGACAGTTTAGGTGAAGGCTAAACGAAGTGAACAGGGACTGGAGAGATGGCTCAGCAGTTAAGAGCACTGGCTACTCTTGCAGAAGACCCAAGTTTGAACCCCAGCACTCACATGTCAGCTAACAGCTGTCTATATTTCCAGTTCCAGGGGATCTGACACCCTCTTCTGATCTCCAGGGACATTATATGACATGGTGCAGTTACATACATGTAGGCAATACATTTATACACTAAAAATTATATATATATTTATATATATATTTTTTTTGGTCTTTTTTGAAACAGGGTCTCCCTGTAGCCCCAGCTGGCCTGGAACTCACTATGTAGATCAGGCTGGCCTCGAACTCACAGAGATCTGCTTGCATCTGCCTCCAGAGTACTGGGATTAAAGGTGTGCACCACCACGCCTGGCTAAAATGTATTTTTTTATATGAAGTGAATGGCTAGGCTTGTGGTCCCAGCTACTAGGGAAGGTGAGGTGGGAAGATCATTTGAGCCCAGGTGCTTGCAGGCAGCCTGGTGGAGCACAGTGAGAACCTACCTCAGCAAACTGAAACAAAATGCTTGCACAGACCATGTCTCATCACTCACAGCTCAAAAGGCCTGTGAGGGAAACCAAGAGGGGATGACCAAACTGGGCTGATCTCAATGTCTGGGATAGAAAGCCTGGGACACATCTTGGGGCTTGAAGGGAATAGATGGATGGGCGATTAAGTGTGAGGAAAGAGGTGTATCTGGGCAGGTGGGCACGGTGAGGGTGGGAGTGCACATGCATGTGTGTATGTGCTAAGTATATGTGGGTGTGCCAGGGTTACATGCACACATGTTCCAAGTGCATCTGTCTACATGTGGAAGTGGAGAAGGGGAGGGGCTGCAAGTTTTTGGCTATAGTTCTTTATTATTATCATCATCATTATTATGTGTATCTTTGTGATTGTACATGTGTATGTACAGGTATGTGTGGAGGTCAGAGGTCAATGTCAGGTATCTTCCTCAGTCACTCTCTATTTTACCTTATATTCTTTTTTTAAAAAAAATTTTTTTTTGGTCTTTTTGAGACAGGGTCTCCCTGTAGCCCCAGCTGTCCTGTAACTCACTATGTAGACCAGGCTGGCCTTGAACTCACAGAGATTCGCCTGCCTCTGCCTCCTGAGTGCTGGGATTAAAGGCGTGTGCCACCACACCCAGCTAAAATAATATTTTATTTACTGGGGCTGGAGAGATGGCTCAGCAGTTAAGAACACTGACTGTTCTTTCAGAAGACCAGGGTTCAAATGACAGCTAACAACTGTCCCTAACTCCAGTTCCAGGGGATCCAACAGCCTCTTCTGTCCTCCATGGGCATTGCACGACATGGATGCACTTACCTACATGCAGGCAATACATGCATACACATAAAAATACATGCATACACATTTATTTTCATTTTATGTGTATGAGTGTATTTTTATTTTATGTGTATGGGTGTATTGCCTGCATGTAGGTTAAGTGCACCCATGTCATGCAATGCCCAATATCATAAGAGGGCATTGAATTCCCCTGGAACTGGTGTTGGGAACAGTTGTTAGCAGCCATGTGAGTCTGGAACTTGAACCTGGTACAACCGGTGCTCTTAACCACTGAGCCATCTCTCTGCCCCTCTACCTTATATTCTTTGACTGTAAAATTATTTATTTATTATTTATTTTGTGTACATATGTTCCATGGTGTGTGTGTGTATGTATGTGTGTGTGTATGTATGTATGTAGGTTAGAGGACAACTTGCAGCAGTTGGTTCTCTCCTTCCATCATATGGTTGACAGAGATTGAATTTGGGTCCTTGGGCTTGGAGGCAAACACCTTTCAAAGAGCCATCTCTCTGGCCCCACCTTATTTTTTGAGATAGCCTCTCTCACTGAATCTGGAGCTCCCTGATTTGGCCAGCAAGCAGCCCCTGGGATTGCAGGTGTGTGCTGCCACCCCTGACTTTTGTACATGGGTGCTGAAGATTGAACTCATGCTTGTATGGCAAACACTTGACCGACTAAGCCATTTTCCCAGCTTACTCTTTTCTTTTTTGAGACAGGGTCTCATGCAGCCCAGGCTAGCCTGAACTCACTATGTAGTCAAGGATAACCTTGAACTCCTGATCCTCCTGCCATGTGAACTATCATACTCAAATGTCTCTTGGAATACTGGTGGGGTCTGAACAGCAGTAAGGGGCTAGCCCAGACATATAGGATGAAGTTGAGGTTGGACAATGTATAGGGAGGAATTCAAAAGCCCATCTTCCTGGCTCTACTTTGTCCCATCTCACTATAAGACTCTGGTCCTTTCTGAGCCTCAGTTTCCTTCTGTGTATAGGAGGGCGTTGGATCGGCTGAATCTGTGGGGTTTGTTACCTTAGATGGTGTCCAGCATAGGATCTGGTGCCCAGGCTGCTGCTTGGTTGGTTGAACGAATGAGTGAAAAGTGGAGAGAAGCCGAAGTGAGGTGCTCCGGCTTATTCCTGACTTACTTGTGTGCATGGAAGTCCTCACCCAGCTCCTTTCACATACAAACATACAAATCCATCTGTTCACCCTTACTTCCGTGAATTCACTTTCAGTCAAATTCAGGTTCAGGGTCTTAAGAAGTTTCCTCCAGCCCTGAGGCTTTGAGTCCTGACTCAGAGCACAGTGCTTCTTGGTCACCAGGGATGCCCTGCCCAGTCTTAATGACCACAGCTGCCCTTCCCAGCTCCTCTCTTCTCCTCCTTTTCCATCTAACAGCCTCTCCCTCTCTGACTTTCTGCCTACAGAGGTACAGGGACACAGATGTGCCCTTATATACAGGTACAGCCTCACTGTCTGTAACTGGTCTTTTTCTCTTGTCAGTCCCTGAGTCTCTGTCCCTTTAGCCCCTTGTTCCTCTCATGTGCTCCTGTTTACATCTGTCCTGCTTTCTCCGTCCATCTCTTCCTCCACTTTCTCCTTTCCTGACTCTCCCACAGTATGTTCTCCCTGTGCTCATTGGGTTACCTTGGTCTCTCTTCTCTCTCCTCTCCTCATACCCTGGTCCAGGGACCACTGCTCAAACCCACTCTGTTCCTTGCTCTTTGAGAAGTATCTGCAGTACCCAGATTCTGGCTCAGCTTGGAGGTTCCCATGGCGTCTGTTAGAGGGGCCCTGGCCTCATTGCATTTCCTCCCAGGGATGACTTGGCAGTGATATGCTCTGTTTCCTCACTTCTGCAATTTCCAGGCAACAGCACAGAGGCCAGGCTGGGGTTTGGACCTGGAGGGACACACAGAGCCTACCGCCGAGCTGCTGCCCCTGCTCCAGGTAAGGGTGGTCCCAGTTCTGGCTGGGCAAGAGGGATACACAGATGTCCTCAAGAAGCCAATTGGGGTGATGGCCCCCAGCTGCACTAAAACAGATGAGTGGGTGGGTATTTTAAGGTCCTGCTCTGTTATCTTCCTCAAACCAAGTTTCAAATTCAGAAACAATTTATTCTTTCTGTGCTGGGGGCCAAACCCAGGATTATGCACATTGGCAAGTATTCTACCACTGAACTATATCCTCACTGCTCTTTCTACTTTTAATTTAATCTATTATGTATTTATTTAGCATGTGTGTGTGTGTTTGTGCGCATGTGTGTGCACACCACAGCACACGTGTGGAGGTCAAAGGACAGTTAGTGGGAGTCGGTTCTCTCCTCCCAGCATGCATGTTCCAGGGAACGAACTCAGGTCCTCAGCCTTCGCAACAAGCATCTTTATTTGCCAAGTCATCTCACCGGCCCCTACTTTCTATTTTGTGTCAGAGTCTTAGTAAGTTGCCCAGGCTGACCTTGAAATTCTGCAGACCAGGCATGCCTTAGACTTTCCAGTCTCCTCTGGCAACCTCCTGAGTAGTCACCAGGCCTGGCTTAAAAAGAATTTCTTGTGACCAAACATTCTGTTCTCAGGGAACTCAGCATCTCTTTTCTGAGGCTAAGGCGGTGTCACGGACAGCTCACTGGGAGGTGACTCTGGTGATAAGAGGCGGTTACTTAGATCTCCGGGAGCGGAATGCCATTTGCTTTCCTAACTGTGTGATCTTGGCTAAGTTCTATGTACTGCCTGTGCAGGTTCACAAATTGTCAGTGTCATCTCTCCAGGATTGCTGGGGGGTGGGGGAGCAGGGTCTGGAACAGGGCTGGGCACTTGGGAACTCACTCACTGCTGCATCCCCAGAAGGTAAAGAAGGGAACTGTGTTATTGATACAAAGAGCTAGGTCCAGAAACAGTTTCAACATCAAGTCTCAGGTGCTGGGGACAGAGTCCAGTGTGGCAGCAGCTGTTCCTCACTGGCAAGAGGTCTAGATGTGAGGCTGTCAAACCAGAGCTGGCCAGGTACTTGTTCACAAATGAAAAACGAAGAAGTCAGCAGGTCTCTCCCACACCTCCACAGCTCTCCTGTAAACCTGACCCCATGTCTGGCTGTGCTCCAAGTGTTCAGTGCCCTCCAGTATATTGGGGGTGAGGGATTGACTACAAAGAAGGGCCCCTTCCTCCCTTTCAGTACCAGCCAGGGAAAGAAGGAGGTGACTGGTGCAGGACTTCAGTCTTGCTTAGAAACTGGACCTTGGGCCATTGAGTAGCCTCACTTTCCTCCTTTGTGGAGTAAAATCCTGACCTTGTAATGGAAGGACGGAGTAAGAGGGTGGGTGGGAAGAGCTTTGCCAACGGTAAAACGGTATGCAAACACTAGCATTCCACAGTAGATCTTATCGTAAATGCCTTAAGGATGAGGGATCTATTTTTCTCTGTTTTCTCCTTACCCCCAGTATAGTATGTGCTCAGAACATGCACTGAGCTTGGTATAGTGGAGCACACAGGTGATCCCAGCACTTGGAGGTAGAGGCAATAGGATTGGGAGTTCAAGGCCAGCTTTACTAGCAAGTTCAAGGCCATCCTGGGCTACAGGAGACCCTGCCCTCTCCACCCCCTCCCTCAAAAAAGGTATATGAACTGAAGATGATGATGAGATAGTATGTACTTGGTTGAGGGTGGAGAGTGAGCCACACCCCCAGCTCAGCCCTCACCCTAGTCACCTTGGGTAACCCCACTGATTAGTGAAAGTTTGGGCAAGGGATTCACAGTCCTGGGTAGTGATAACTAAATGTGCACTTTCCCTCCTGATTGGTGCTGGTCTGGTGAGCTGCTGGGATTCCTTTTATTCTTTTACCAGAACCAGAGACCTCTTCTCCTCTGGCCTGTTGAAGAGGAGGTCATTTACCCCTCTTTTTCTAAACAGGGTGCTCCAGAAGGTGGAGGCTGGGGCCCAGGAGGAGCAAGAACAGGAACAGAGCCCAGGAGCACAGCTGAATAGATTCTGGGGACATGGGTTTGCTTTGTGGGTGGAGCAGGGAATAATGAGGAGGGGAGAAACTCCTGGGGGTATGTGTATGTGTTCGTGTTTGTGTTTGCGCGTGTGTGTGTGTGTGTGTGTGTGTGTGTGTGTGTGTGTGTGTATCCTCAGCCTTTTTCAGTTTACCAATTACCAAGTGGTTTTGCAAACAGTTTATCTTCCACCCCTTTTAACAACACTGCTTCGGGACAGGGTACCCCGGGTTATAGTTAAGGATCATGAGTTGGGAAGAGTCCCTTAAGTCTTCCACCCCTTTTAACAACACTGCTTCGGGACAGGCAGGGTACCCCGGGTTATAGTTAAGGATCATGAGTTGGGAAGAGTCCCTTAAGGTGGTGGGTGGCACTGCTAGGACCAGAGTCCTTCTCCCACGCCTCTGACTACCTACCTGGTGGCCTCTCCCAAAAGGTGTGGTTGGTGTGGTGCCTGGCGGATTTGTTGCTCATTAGCAAGCAGTTCTGAGGACACTAGGGAAGGAAGCTCCCAGATGCAGAGCAAATTACCTCATTCAGCTTTTAAAACTGTCACCAGCTAAAACCTTGAAAATACGGACAACCTATGTCCTGCTGGTCTGCTGCTGCTGGCTTGTAATAAAATGAAAGGCTGGGAATACATGCTCCTCGCTGCCCACCACCAAGTTATCACATGTCCCCAGCCACTGAGGCTGGGCTCCAGATGACTGGTCTAGATCATTACAATCTCATTATAATGATAAGTAGTCTGCCTACAAGCTGCCATGACACATCTGGACCATATCCAAATTAGAGAAGAAACAGGGTGACACCCAGATTCCTGGAAATCTCCTGAAAGGCTCTGATGGCTGTGTGACACTCCCCCATATCCCATCCCTGGTAAATACTCAGCCCTCAGCCTGTTAAAAGAAATGGTCCCTCCAGAGTGTGAGCTCCTCTTCTCCATTAACTATTGTTTAAAAAGCCTTGCCCGCTCCTGGGATGATCTGGTTATTTGTGAATGGTATCGAACAGGAAAAGATGGTAACCATACCCCACAGGAAGGTTTTATTTTTTGTTATTTTATTTTATTTGGGTGGTGTTTTTTGTTTTTTTTTTTTCCTGCCTTTTTTAAAATTTATTTTTTTGGTCTTTTTGAGACCAGGGTCTCCCTGTAGCCCCAACTGTCTTGGAACTTGCTATGTAGACCATACTGGCCTTATTTTATTTCTTGAGACAGGGTCTTATGTAACCCAAGCTAGCCTCTAACTCACTATGCAGCTCAGGCTGGAGCTTAAATTCCTGATCCTCCTACCTCCATCTTGCAGGTACTGGCAGTTAGCCTAGCTGTACAGTAAGTTTCAGGACAGTGAGAGATGCTGTCTCAAAATACAAGGTGAGCCTTTAATCCCAGCACTTGGGAGGCAGAGGCAGGTGGATCTCTGTGAGTTCAAGGCCAGCCTGGTCTACATAAGGAGTTCTGGGCCAGCTGGGGCTACAGGGAAATCCTGTCTCAAAAAGACAAAACCCCCCCAAAAAACAGAAAACAAAAAACAAGGTGGGTAGCATCTGAGGAACAACATCTGGGGATGGCCTCTGGTCTATACTCTCTCACACACACGCACACACATACACACACATATACACATGTATACATACACACATATGCACATATATATGTACATAAGTACAAACATATGAAAACACACATGTGCACATGTACACATGCACATATATAAACATACATACACAGGGAATTTGGGAATCCAAAGACCAGGCATCTAGGAAAGCACAAAGCCAGGTCTATGGGGCTCCAGGCCCTGTGTCTGCACCCCACTTTTCTCCCCTGGGTGGGGCTCTGGACTGGTCTTGAGGGCAATAACAGGTCTCAGATTCCCAGGCTAGGAAGAAGCCAACTTGATTCCTGGTAGAAGAGAGGCGTGCCTCAGCTGGGGAAGCTCAGAGGAGGTGCCTCTTGCCCTGCCCCTGCCCAGGCTCTTCAGGAAGCCAGATAGGGAGGTGACTCACAGGCAGGTAGAACCTAGAGTCTGGGGAAGACACCGAGTCATCCTTGGTGTCTCTGAATCTGGAAATTTCCGGGGCTGGCTGAGTCATTTCAATGTCATACACATTCCTGGGTCAAGGTAAGGTCCCCAGCAAAAAGGCAAACTGGCTAATTTTGGTTCTATCCCTGGGACTCGGTCCCTGATAAAGAGTTCTGTTCTTCAACCAATAAATTTGGCCAGCATGGTGCTATAGCACCAGGCAATCTGGTTTGGAATTTGAGCCCTTAATTTGCCTCTCAGTGGAGAAATGGTAATAAGAACACTCAAAGAAGGGAATCCTAAGAGGGTGTACCACTATAGCCAACCCAGGGCACAAATATGAAGCAACAGGGGAGCCAGAAAAGGAAGTAACTCATTTATTGAGCACCTACTACATGCCCAGCACTCCTGTCATTGTGTGTGTGTTGGGGGGGTACACAGGACTTTTTTAAAGAGCTTATTTTGAAAATTTATTTATTTTTTAATGTGTGTGTATATGTGTGTGTGTGTGTGTATGTGTGTGTGTGTGTATGCATGCATACACCTACTACAGCATGCTTGTGGAGGTCAGAGGATAAGTATGTTATTTCTTTCTACCAGGTGAGTTACATGGATAGAACTGAGGTGATCAGACTTGGTAGCAAGTGCCTTTACCTGCTGAGCCACCTCCCTGGTCCCAGACCAGGTATTTTCTATTTAATCCTTGCAGCAACTCTAGGAAATGGAAATTGTTATTTCCATTTTTCAGGGTAAACAGAATCCCATGGAAGTTAAATCTTGGGTAAGAACGGCTGGTGTCTCTTTCTGTCTGTGTCTCTCTGTGTGTGTGGATGCATACACATGCACATGTGTGTGCTGGGGATTGAACCTAGAGCCTTATGTATGCTAGACAAGCACTCTACCACTGAGCTACACCTTTAGCCCTGGCTGGTGT